GATGATGATGATGATGATGGTGGTGATGATGATGATGGTGATGATGATGATGACGATGGTGATGATGATGATGATGATGATGATGATGATGATGATGACGATGGTGATGATGATGGTGGTGGTGATGATGGTGATGATGATGATGACGATGGTGATGATGATGATGATGATGATGATGATGACGATGGTGATGATGATGATGATGATGACGATGGTGGTGATGATGGTGGTGATGATGATGATGATGATGGTGATGATGACGATGGTGATGATGATGATGGTGATGATGATGATGACGATGGTGATGATGATGATGACGATGGTGATGATGATGATGATGATGACGATGGTGATGATGATGATGATGATGATGATGATGATGATGATGATGATGATGATGATGACGATGGTGATGATGATGATGATGATGATGATGATGATGATGATGATGATGATGATGACGATGGTGATGATGATGATGGTGGTGGTGATGATGGTGATGATGATGGTGATGATGGTGATGATGATGGTGATGATGATGACGATGGTGATGATGGTGGTGGTGATGATGGTGATGATGATGGTGGTGATGGTGGTGGTGATGACGATGGTGGTGATGGTGGTGGTGATGATGGTGATGATGATGATGATGATGATGATGACGATGGTGATGATGATGATGACGATGGTGATGATGATGATGGTGGTGATGATGATGATGGTGATGATGATGATGATGATGATGGTGATGATGATGATGGTGGTGGTGATGATGATGATGATGATGATGATGATGATGGTGATGATGATGATGGTGGTGGTGATGATGATGATGGTGATGATGATGATGGTGATGATGATGATGATGATGATGATGATGATGATGATGGTGATGATGATGATGACGATGGTGATGATGATGGTGATGATGATGATGATGATGATGACGATGGTGATGATGATGGTGGTGATGATGATGGTGGTGGTGATGATGGTGGTGATGGTGGTGGTGATGATGGTGGTGATGGTGGTGGTGATGATGATGATGATGATGATGATGGTGATGATGATGGTGATGGTGGTGATGATGATGATGGTGATGGTGATGATGGTGGTAGTGGTGATGATGATGGTAATGATGATGATGGTGATGATCATGATACAGGTATATATATACCTGAGTCCCTGCGCTCTTCTACGCCCGAGAGCCTTTTAAATCGTAATGTTATTTGCCTTTGTTGTTTTTCCGTTAAATCCCGTTATGATAGCTAGGCTTCTACCATCCCCTATATTTATGGGCTTAGGGACCGAGGCCCATTGCCTCACCCGACACCAGAAAGAAGACACATGTAGGCTTATTACAATGTTCAAAAAGCCTGGCGTGTGTATGTATAGGAAACAGCTAAATACCCCAGTGCGGTTTCTGTGAGGCGGAAAAACTCCGAGTTAAAATTACACTTGCTTGACAGAACTGTTTTATCTTATGAGTGCTTACAGTAATGTCTCGTCTTTACACTTCCAAGCGACCAAAACCCTTCTACAAAGAATCATTTAAGGGGAGAAAAAAAAAACATTCCAGAGTCAGGACTTCAGGCACCTCTGAACTATGTGTACACCATAATCTCTTTGATCTTAAGCTAAGCTAATTGAGGCTTACCTAATTTATGTTAAGAGACGAATTTGTTTAATTCTTCTTAAGAGGACTTCGCACATGAACGAGTTTCTTTTCTATTGTTGATTGGCCATTGCTGTTCTTTCAACGAGAATCGACAAGCATTTCTCTGGAAGTAGGTCTGTGGCCAGCGCTTCGACAGGAAGGATCTACTAGGTGGGTCAGGCGAAGAAATCAAACCCCAGATTAACAAAATGTTATCTGCATTTAAGAAGCGTTGTCCGTAAAATTAATCGTTTCTGAATGGCCTCTGGTGTAAATTCGTGGTGAGAATAAATGACACCCCACTCGACCTCCTCCATGTCATTACCGTTGCTTGAATCCTGGCCTAAAAACCGAGATGCCTGTGACGCCTAATCACTTACCAGGCCAACCACGATCCACAGTCCCCTCAGGTATCTTTGCTCTTGAGTACGGTTCAGGCAGGCACGTCAGGGTTAGGTTAGGTTCAAGTCTTTTTTATCATTGGATGGGAGTGGTAAGAGAGAAAAAAAAATACTAGTTAAATGTCCGATTTATTTTAGTGATAATTCTCAAAATTTGACTTCAGAAATCTGCCATGAAGCCAGGATATGAACGTTGGTTCCTCATAACTATCCTCGAAAAAACGATATGTTAAACTATAAATTGATCTTCAAGTCTTCAGTAAAAATATAGTAAAGGAAGATTAACAACAAAACCCGTAGAGCCTCACCAGAAGTACGTATGCATATATAGACTTCTTACAATCCACAATATATTGATCAGTTCATATATATTATCTTTGACTCGACCGTTATCTGTTCGTGAATGGGTTACGTAGGCACAGAGACGCCCACAACCAAAGCA